TTCACTCCTCTTTCTTCCTGCGTCCCAACATGAACCACAACCTCTGGCTGTTTATCCTCCTCCTTCAGAATTCCCTACAGCTGCACATTGGCATCTCTGACCCTGGGTTGGTGGAGGTGGGGGGCAGCGGAGTTATCTAGGAGGCAGCACCCCACCCTGGGTTCAGCTCTACGCCTGGAAAAGTGTCAGTCAACTCCTCTCAGTGATGTATCCTCCGACCACCATTGCCCTAGCACACTTCTTCCTCCCCCAGATCCCTCCCCAAGAGGTTAGACCAACCACATTGCCATGATGTTGGCTCTGACTGGGCATTCCACATGCCATGGAGCTGGTAGTCCTTTGGATTTGATTTGTTATCATTCTGTTTAAAAATGATCAGAACAGTCCTAATTCGCAACTTCGGCATTTTTGCAAACCCCCATCCCACAACATCCAACAGCGCACCCCGTCCATGAGATCATCTCCAAACTGCAACATGCCCTTCTCTTCAACACCAGCACATTCAAGGCTATCAGTGCACTCAATGAAAGTCATCGCTTCCAATGCCAAGGGGGAAAAAGCCCAACTAAGCATTGACAGCTAAATGATAGTTATGGAGGCTCAGACAGTTGGTTTGCAGAGACTTTGATGGTTGAGGTATGGTTGATTAGTGTGGAGCTATGTCAACTCGCAAACAAGTAAGAATGTGGGCAGTGATTTAACTGCATGCCGAGATTGCTCCGAAAATAGCGGTAGTCTTGACTATGTGTTGTGGAATTTATTTTTATTCTCACACGTACAATTTGTCATTTTAATTTGACACAACGTCATCGTGGCCATCAATGTGATGGAAACAGAGCTTGTTCCAAATGATTTAATTGCTACTGTTGAGCAAAAGCTTTCCACATGTAGGGTACAGAACATTTTTATAGGGTTTATTAAGACCCATTTTTTAACGCAAGTAACACAGAGAGCAACAGGAAGACTTTTGCATTGAATGCCTCATGTTTTCTTCTTATTTTTTTCCCTTAGATTCTGATTTTCATTCACTCCTACTCTTGGAAAGGCACACAGGTACACTACAGTGCAATACCAAAGTGTCAATAGTCTTAAAATCCTTCTATCTCCGTATAAACAGGCTATAATTTAGAAATATTAAAAAGTTGTAGTCATTCAAATTTTGTGCTCACCGTATAGCATAACCGTACAAATTCATTTTTGTTATTTGGAATGGTTGCTGAGTTGTACAAAGAAGAGATACATTGTTAAAGGGTTTTTTTTTTCACTAGCATTCATCAGGACTGATGCAAGAATGCCAAATCTCAAATGCAGCAACAATTTATGTCAATCTGGATGCAAAACCAATCAGTGAGACAGAAACCAAAACACCTTCTTTTATGGGTAGAATTTATTAACTACTCAGTCTTACAATCCTTCCACACACCGGTCCCACCCTTATAGTTTTAAACAACCCAGCCAGAGACGTTATGACACATCACCGGAGCAGGTGGGACTTGAAGCCAATGCCTCCTGGTCTAGAGTTAGGAACACTACCACAGGAGCCTTCTGTTCACCTTTTATACATTTTTTAAAAAATAACCTATTTTCTTCATCAACCTGTTCAGAGATGTTATGACACACCTCCTGGAGAATGTGGGACTTGAACCCAGGCCTTCTACTCCAGGGGTAGGGACACACCACTGCATCACAAGAGGGCCCCAACTGTTCACCTTTAATATCTACCCAGTCAGTTAATTTTTTTTCTCTATTCATTTGTGGGACATGGGCATTGCTGGCTGGGCCCAGCATTTCTTCCCTGTCCCTAGTTGCCCCTTGAAAAGGTGGTGGTGAGCTGCCTTCTTGAACAGCTGCAGTCCTCCTGCTGTAGGTTGACCCAAAATGCTGTTAGGGAGGGAATTTAGGATTTTGACCCAGCGACAGTGAAGGAACGGCAATATATTTCCAAGTCAGGATGGTGAGTGGCTTGGAGGGGAGCTTGCAGTTGGTGGTGTTCCCATATGTCTGATGCCTTTGTCCTTCTAGATGAAAGTGGTTGTGGGTTTGGAAGGTGCTGTCTGAGGATCTTTGGTGAATTTCTGCATTGCATTTTGTAGATGGTACACACTGCTGTGACTGAGCATCGGTGGTGGAGGGAGTGGGTGTTTGTGGATGTGGTCCCAAACAAGTGAGGGCTGCTTTGTCCTGGATGGTGTCGAGCTTCTTGAGTGTTGTTGGGGCTGTACTCATCCAGGCAAGTGGGGAGTATTCCATCACAATCCTGACTTGTGCCTTGTAGATGGTGGACAGGCTTTGGGGAGTCAGGAGGTGAGTTACTCATTGCAGTATTCCTAGCTTCACTGTGTTTATGTGGTGAGTCCAGTTGAGTTTCTGGTCAATGATAACCCCCAGGATGTTGATAGTGATTCAGTGATGGTAACAGCATTGAATGTCAAGGGGTAATGGTTAGATTGTCTCTTATTGGTGATGGTCATAGTCTGGCATTGTGTGGCGTGAATGTCACTTGCCACTTGTCAGCCCAAGCCTGGTCTTGGTGCATTTGAACACGGACTGCTTCAGTATCTGAGGAGTCACGAATGGTGATGAATATTGTGCAATCATCAGCGAACATCCCCACTTCTGACCTTATGGTGGAGGGAGGGTCATTGATGAAGCAGCTGAAGATGGTTGGGCCGAGGACACTACCCTGAGGAACTCCTGCAGTGATGTCCTGGAGCTGAGATGATTGACCTCCAACAACAACAACCATCTTCCTATGTGTCAGGTATGACTCCAACCAGCGCAGAGTTTGCCCCTTGATACCTATTGATTCCAGTTTTGCTAAGGCTCCTTGATGACACACCAAGTCGAATGCAGCCTTGATATCAAGGGTTGTCACTCTCACCTCACCTCTGGAATTCAGCCCTTTTGTCCATGTTTGAACCAAGGCTGTAATGCGAGCTGAATGGCCCTGGCGGAACCCAAACTGGGTGTCACTGAGCAGGTTATTGCTGAGTAGGTGCTGTTAGATAGCACTGTTGATGACACCTTCCGTCACTTAAATATTATTTTAAATAATCCATTAACGCCAATCTCCTGGTGAATTCCTTGCTATATTAATAATTTACAATGGATGAGAAAAGGGGGCACATTGTTTGACAAGTTGACCTAGGAAATGACCATCTCCAACAGGAGAGAATCTAACCATTGCCCCTTGACATGCAATGGGATCACTATCACTGAATCACTCACTATCAACATCCTGGGGTTATAATTGACCAAAAACTGAACTGGGCTAGCCATATAAGTACAATGGCTACAAGAACAAGGGCTGGAATTCTATGGTAAGTTACTTACCTCCTCACTCTTGGAGCTCTGTCAACCATCATAGAATCCCTACAGTGCGGAAACAGGCCATTCAGCTCCTTGAGTCCACATCAACCCTCCAAAGAACATCCCACCCAGACCCACTCCCCTAACCTGTCCCTGTAACCCTGCATTTCTCATGGCTAACTCATTTAGCCTACACATTCCTGGACATCATGGGCAATTTAGCATGGCCAGTCCATCTAGGCTGCACATCTTTGGACTGTTGGAAGAAACTGGAGCACCCAGAGGAAACCCATGCAGACACAGGGAGAACATGCAAATTCCACACAGACAGTCGCCCAAGTGTGGAGTTGAACCCGGGTCCCTGGTGCTGTGAGGCAGCAGATCTAACCACTGAGCCACCGTGCCACTCCACCATCTACAAGTCATAAGTCAGGAGCACGATGGAATACTCCCCACTTGCCTGGATGGATGCAGTTCCAACAACACTCAAGAAGCTTGACACCATCCAGGATGAAGCAGCCCGTTAATTGGCACCCTATTCACTACCTGGAACATTCACTTTCCTTATCAGCTATGTACAGTGGCATCTACAAGATACACTGCAACAACTCACCAAGGCTCCTGTGACAGCACTTCCCAAACCTGAGAACTCTACCACGTCAAAGGGTAATGACAGCCCTGAAGTAAACATTACTTTCCGAGTCTAAATCCTCAATTAGGTCCGAGTGGGAAAGCTGGGAGGACTTAATTAGATGGAGAAGTAAACTTTTTTTAACTTCTTTCACAGGATGTGAGCATCACTGGCCAGGCCAACATTTATTGTCCATCCCTAACTGCCCTTAGGCAGATAGGCATCAACCACATTGTTGTGGGCCCGGAGTCAGACCAGGTAAGGATGGCAGTTTCCTTCCCTGAAGGGTATTAGTGAATCAGCTGAGTTTTTTTTCTCCTGACAACTGCTTCTTGGGCTCTTAATTCCAGATTTTGATTGGATTCAAATTCCACCATCGGCAGGATTCAAACCTGGGTCCCCAGGAAATTACCTGGGTCGCTGGATTAACATTCTATGCTACACGACTGGGCCATTGCTGCCCTGAGGCAATCCTGCTCAATTAAAATCCTTCACCCCAAAATTCAGCACTGGGTGAGGAGGGGTGCTGGCATTAATTTCTACCTATCTCCCCCTGTTTCTCTCCCAAGGACACCACCTGACGTATTGATTCTTTCCAGCATTTTCTGTTCTCATTTCAGATTTCCAGTGACCACAGTGTTTAGCGCTTGTTGAGGTTTTATTCAGCATTTGAGACCTCTCTTCAGTCACCAGGACATCCCAGACGTGTTTAGTTTGTTCCTGCTTGGGTTTAAATCTTCAATCAGAAACAGCCTTGGGAACCTCAGCAGATAAAGGGTTAAGTCACTCCTCTGATCCTGGGGCACAGGGTACATGGATGTGCATCAATTCCCCTACTGTCCCTCTCACCGGTTTTAATGCAAAAAGCAGTGAAAACAATTAGAAAGATGCTGTCCAACTCATTCCCTTTCATTGTCTTTGATTTCACAGTGTGATAAGATGCTAGACTTTGAGCAGTGGCTGAGACAGCTGAACGTGCTTTACAGCTGTGATTGCAGATTGAATGCTTAATTATTGTCATAAATCAACATTTTGATATTAGTTGTAGTCTACCACTTACCAAATTGCCTCTTCATCATGAGCCAATCCATGGTGTCTCAGTAGTATCTCTAGTGTGTCTCCAGATAAACTGCGTACTGAAATGTAATGAAGAAAAAATAAAGTGAAGCTAAAGATAGCCTCATGCATCTCCATCAAACACTGACTACAGTGAAATGTTGTTCATCCCATTGGGTCATCAGTCACTAGGACCCAGACCAGGGAAGCCTGCCCAGTGTCCTACTGTTTCAAAGACTGAGGGGTGATTTGATTTATGTGTCTAACATCTGGAATGGTCTTGAGAAGATGGACGTGGAAAGGATGTTTCCTCTTGTGGTGGGATCCAGAACCAGGGGACACTGTTTAAAAAAAATAGCATTCACTTTTTTAGGACAGAGATGAGTGGATTTTTTTTGTCAGAGGACGGTGTGCCTCTGTAGGTGGTGGAGGCAGTGTCATTGAATATCTTTAAGGTCGAGCTAGATGGATTCTTGGTCAGCAGGTGAATCAAAGGTAGTTGGGAATAGGTGGGAGTGTGGAATTTCAAATCCAAAAGGTCTATCTATGGTCTTATTGAAATCACAGTGATTTCCAAGGGCTGAATGGTCTACCACTGCGCCTAATTCATATGTCATATGTATGGAATTATGTGTTTTGTCTTCCCTCTCTCCCTTCTAAAGACCACCCCCCCCCCCTCCAGTTTTGGGATCTCAGTGCAACTCTCTGTGGGAAAATACTGGGGGCACTCATTAGTCAGACCTCATTAGCAGACAGCACCAAGTACTTTGTGTTTCTCACTGTGGAAACTTTGATGAGGAGGCGACATCAGGAATTGTCTCTTTTATCTGTAGGATGTTGCCTGCTTTGTGCTGTCAGTGATTTCTGTTTGTCTTTTCTTTCATATTTCCAGTATCTGCAGTTGCATCCACATCGAAGCGACAGTCAAGAAAGCATAGCAAAGTCTCTAATTCCTCAGATTTTCCCAAACACTGCAATAATAAGAGAGTAGGCATGACTCCAGCCCTAAATCTTTGATGTCAGTTCAATGGAACATCTTGGTGATCCCAATGATTCTCTAACCTTTTCTTCCACTTTGCTTTCTTTTTATGCACTAGGAATATGTTCTATCCGCAAAAAAGACCTTCAGATCCCAGTTGCATGCTACTTCAACACACCACCCTGTTCCCTAACCAACATCTCTGTCTCGGGCTTGCTGCAGTGTTCCAGCGAAGCTCAGCGCAAGCTGGAAGAACATCACCTCATTTTCAGCTTGGGGACCCAGCAGCCCTCTGGACTCAATATTGAGTTCAACAACTTTAAGGTTGAGCTTTCCCATGGCCTTACACCAACTCCCACACACCAGGCCTTATTATCACATAGTCTGCTATTACACACAAACCCATTGTTAGCCAATAACAGTCCCCATTAACAACTATTCACCCTCACAGCCAGATCGTTGTCCACTCCTTTGTCTGTCCAGCTGTTCTTCTCTCTCTTTGGGCTCTATCCCCACCTATCGTTTACTCCTTCCCCCCTTCCCCCCACCCTAGCTTCTGCAAATGAACCAACATTTTCCCAGCTACCATCAGTTCCCAGGAAGGGTCATTCAACCCGAAACGTTAACTTTGATTTCTCTCCACAAATGCTGCCAGACCTGCTGAGCTTTTCCAGCAATTTCTGTTTTTGTTTCTGATTTATAGCATCCACATGTTCTTTTGGTTTTTATTTAGGAATATGTTAATGTCTGGAGGAGGCTAGTTATTACTGAAAGAGATAAATAATACAATACAGGAAATACTAGAAAAGTTTAATTTTAAAGGGAGCACAATGGTCAACACCACAAACCAGAAGGACAAGGGCAGCAGATGCTCGGTAACACCACCCTTTGTAAGCTCACCAACTTGCCTTGGAAATATATTGCCTTACCTTCAGTGACGCTGGTTCAAAATCCGGGAACTGCTTCCCTACAGCACATGGACTGCAACGATTCAAAAAGGCAGCTCACCACCAACTCTGGGCGAGGCGTTGGCCTAGTGGTATTATCACTGGACTATTAATCCAGGGACCCAGATAATGGGGACCCAGGTTCAAATCCTGCCATGGCAGATGATGGAATTTGAATTCAATTTAAAAAAAAAATCTGGAATTAAGGATCTAATGATGACCATGAATCCATGGTCGATTGTTGGGAAACACCCATCTGGTTTACTAATGTCCTTTAGGGAAGGAAACTGCCATCCTTACCTGGTCTGGCCTACAACTGACTCCAGACACACAGCAATGTGGTTGACTCTTAACTGCTTTTGGCACAATTATGGATGGGCAATAAATGCTGCCTGGCCAGCGACACCCTCATCCCGTGAATGAATAAAGGAAAAAAATAAGGAAAAAAAAAACTTCTCAAGGGTGACTAGGGACAGGCAAATAAATGCTGGATTATCCAGTGATGCCCACATCCCATGAATAAGTAAGATCCACAATGTCAGTTCATTGCAGTACCAGTACCAATGGGTTCTTTTAATAAACTTCTGCATCATTCTGTAATTTCTATTTGATAAAAAGACATTTCTATTTTGCTGTTTCACAGGCTGACAATTTTATTACCAGCAGCCATTTCTGCAATGCTTGACAAAGCTTGAGGTAGCTGGTGCCATACTTCCAGTGTGACAGGTGTAATAATATGTGTATGTCTCATTACTGACTGAGTGCACAGGTATATGCCTGTCAGTGCCTCATCCTCTCAAAAAAAACCATATACACCCCGAGCTGAAACTCCATCATGGCATTGAGGGTGTACTGTATTGTCAAGGGGTGTTATCTTTGAAGTGAGATATTAGCTTAAGTTTTATGTCCTTACTATTGGCGATTCCGTACACTGAAGAACAGGCTGAAGCAGTATCCAGTTTTGGCCTGACAAGTGGCGAGTAATATCCATACAAAAGCCAGGAAATGATAATCTCCATCAAAAGGGATTTGAACCATCATCTGTCTGACAGTCACTGCCATAAACATAGGGAAGGTGGTGGCTTCGTAGTATTATCACTATTAATGCAGAGATTCAGATAAAGTCCCTCCACAGCAGATGATGGAATTTACATTCAATAATAATTTGGAAATAGATGACCATGAAACTGCTTCTGATTGTCAGGAAAAGCCCATCTGGTTCATTAATGTCCTTTAGGGAAGGCAATCTGCCATCCTTGCCTGGTCTGGCCTACATATGACCGTTAACTGCCTTCTGAAATGGTTGTACTAGATAAGGAATAATGAATCTTTGTCATGTGCTATGATGCAGTTTATAGTCTGATTTGGTGTAACTCCGCCCATATTGTCCAGTTCGTACTCAGTGAGGGGTAGTAGGAACTGCAGATGCTGGAGAATCTGAGATAACAAGGTGTAGAGCTGGATGAACACAGCCGGCCAAGCAGCATCACAGGAGCAGGAAAGTTGACGTTTCGGGCCTAGACCCTTCTTCAGAAAT